ATGCGACTGCTTTTGAGAAGTCCCTGCTTATTTTAAGCATTTGCCTTATGATTCTGAATCATACTGAGAAAACTGTAAAATAGAAGAAATCAAGCCTCCTAACTTTAGATTCTTGAATTCCATCCAAGTTAGGTGCCTAAAACAGTAGTGTAACTATTTGTGTCCCTAGTCATCCTGTTCTGGAATAATTTCACCAGGAATGAAGGAAACAATGAGATACAGAGTTTCGTAAGGATAAAAATATTCAACTATATGATGCTGTCTTGAATCTGGATTAAGGCTGACATGATACGTAAAAGTTAATAGTGGGTAAGTACTGAATCATTTTCACTTAAGTGGTAAATCAGATGTTTGTTGATTAAAACAAGAACACCACAACTACTTTCTGACACTCCTGGTAGTAGACTGAATCACTGTTTCTACAGTAGAGGTAGAGCATACACAGAGGATGTAGTGAAAGCTCCTACCATATGAGGCGAGGGCAATCTAAGATTTATGTTCTTTCTATGTCCCAGAAAGTTTTAACCAAGTGGTCATTTAAATTTTTTTCATTTCAAATAATCTTATGGTAAGTTTATACTTTAGTTTTTTCATATGCTCATAAAGAAGCAAAAGAGGCCTTGCTTCTACATGTCAGGATATTCCTTTTTCAGAAGTGATAGCGGCTACAGAATTACCATCCTGAAAGGTGTAACAATTCAATTTGAATGAAATTAAAGGCTTCTGGTAATAATCACTACACTTGCAGTTAATGGATATAACTGAATCAAGAGTAAAAAAAAGTCCCATTCACCCTACCTAGAGCCCATGGCTCTAAGCATTCCAGTTTTATTCAGTGCATTGATGTGTGGGAACTTTTGCTTTCACCAATTAGTCATGGTTTCTCCTGCTTCTCATAGTAAGAATAAAGGCTGCTCAAAGCTCTCATTGTTCCATATTCCAGAAAAGACAGTTGCATAATTACTAATTATCTATCTACCAGTGAGTCATATTTGTTGCAGAGCAGGGAAAGCCAAAGCGAATTGCCTTGAAGAAAAGTACTAAGATAACATTAAGGAGGAAAGCATTTATAAATATCTTGAAAGTGGAAGCAGAGTTAAATTTAGTTCGAGATGGCAGAGAAGCAGCTCACAGTTTGATTAAGTAACCTTTAACTTGCAGTCATCTGCAGACAGAAAGGAGGACAGAATTGTCTGAAGAAGCTCTGAAGAACACTCTGGAAGAGAGCAAGAAAACCTAGAATTTAAAAGAGACAAGCGAGACCTGTGCACCTTTGCTTCTAAATTTATGATGGTACAGCACATTAAGAATAAGAGCAGACAATTCATATCAGCTCTGGAACTATTTTCCTGTTTCTAGAGATTTACTTACACACACAGTGAATGTCACCAGGATAGACAAAATAAATTGCACATACTTCAGCACAAAAAAATTGACAAACAGCAAGAATACACTTTAAAGCAATTCACTTACGTTTCTCCAGAGTAGCCATTCTTTGGTGAACTTTTCTTCATTTCTGTTTTAAAGTCTGCTCAGCAGATTGTGAACTATGTAAAAACATTATGAAAAGTTATACTTCCCAGCTCTGGGCAGGGTACCTCTCAGATCCCAGTTACTTCTATAAACCTGTTCTTTGGTTTTGAACAATGTACGATGTAATCCCCTACTACGAAGAAAGGGCAAAAATGTTTAACGGCACAAGACACACAAGGGACAACATCTTAAAACTTTTTTTGTCCCTTACTTCCAATTTTGAATCAACTAAGGAGACCAACAAAACCCACCTATATTTGGTAGTTTAAGTCTTAAAGTCAAGTAAAGGAAAGGTTATGCTTTAAAGCTGGAATACCCCAAAACACAGCTTACAGATCACGCACGATCTCTAGAACTGTGCTCTTGATAAAAGGAGGAATCCATGAAATCTGAAGATTCCAATAAATTAAGGCTACAAAACAAAAAACCAAGCCATTCTGGCGATGCACTAACTTAATGCTATCTTCTCCTCCCTCACCACAAAATGCAGATGCTACAAACAGCTGTAGTTGCTTGCAATTCCTTGAAATGTTAATCCAAAAGCTACTGCAAAACCACAATACCCTTTTAAGCCATATGAAAAAGCACCCATCTATTTAAGTAAATTTGAAACTAACACTACAAATGAACAGGCAATGACAGTGAGGACAAAACTAGCTGACACACAAGAAAGTCACTATGACCAAGCATACCTCACCATGTGTTTTGATATCACCCTATGATTTTGTTGCTCGGTGGTGGGGGGGGGGGGGGGGGGGGGGTTGTTTGTTGTTTTTGTTTTGTGATTGTGAAGGTTTTTCTGTTTTGTTTTTTAAAATGCAGTGTTAGTCATTAACTTGATTTTCAAAGTTTCTCACAAAGGAAAGAGCACATTCATGTATATTAAGATGGCATTTACACTAGTCTAATTTGTGGAAGATAACTGGATAAAAACATGCAAAAATACAATAAACACTGTAACAACACTTTCAAGGGATTTGTTTATTTTTGGTTTACAAACAAAGGCACCCAATATTTCTGTTTATGTCTTATAAAAGCTCAGGATTTAACATTTGTTTCCAAACGTCTGTTCCTAAAGCAGAGAAAAACATTGCAGGAAAATGTAGGTTTTTTTCCTGGTCCCAAATCTAAATACCAGTAACTGTTAAGTGACCATGTTGTTTCAGACTGCTCTTCTTCCTATTTAACCAACTGGAACACCTCCTGTAACTTGCCAGTCAGTACAGTGAGTCTAGCTTACTGTATCAAAATACAGTTCCGGTGTATTTTTGATCAACATCTGTTAATGTGCAAACACTGGTATGAAGAACTGCAAGAGAACAGGGTTCTGATACAGAAAAACACCCAGTAGTTTCAGTTAGAATTTCACAGACTGACCACAGGAAGTGACAAAACAAATGTAAGAAATGTGACACTGAATCTATTGTCAGTTAAATAGGATGACTTATGAATTTGTGTAAGATACCAATAGTGCACAGAACCACGGTCTCCAAGGAGTGAAAAAGTTTGCGTTTCTAAATTGGCAAACATTTAAAGAGTAGAGGTTAAATATCCTTATGTTTAAAGTAATCCTTTTCTTTGTTATTTATTCAAAAGAACAGATTTCTAAGCAGTGTTTTGGACCAGAAATAATCAGTTCATTGGCTTCATAGCTCTCAGTATTAACAAATCAACATTAAAAGTATCATGTATAATAGTTAAACAACCAAAATTCACAAGCGAATTGCTTCACAGAATTGTTTTCAGAAGGATGTATTTCTCTTTTGCAAACTTCAGCCACATGCCAACATGGGACAAGGGGTGTCACTGGATAGTAGGCACCTCTGAAAAAAG